AACCATCTGTTTTGAATCATAACACATTATGTCTTGGGTCATTGACTGCACTCTGTCCCTGATGGTTTGACAGTGCCAGCTTGTGTTTTATCTCCTGGGCTAGTATAAAGGGTTTTTCCACACCAAGTCAGCCTTTTCAATATTTTTTTCTATAATACCAAACTGTTAAATGTTTGAACAAATATTTGCACAATAATAAAATGAAATGCTTCAATCCCATTGTCTTCCCTTAGAACCAACTGCAGCACTGACAGTTCAAGTTTCGGTGAACCAGAAAACATTTAATTCACGGTTGATTCAGTGAGGTTGCTGAGAGCAAACAAAACCCGTGCCCCACACTTTGGTTCCTCTATTGGTGTGAAAGACGGGTCAGAAAGATGGGGGTTCCCTCCAAATTCATCCCCACAACAGATGAATAGAAAGGAATTACAGTTTGGACATTTTTACTGAAATGTTTAGTATTGCTGGTGGCAAACATAAGGTGAAGTTTTGGATGAAATTGCTTGAAAACATTAAGTCATGTCTGCACGTTTGCAGTTAATAGTCAGCCCACTCCTGCTTTCTTGCTATAGTTAAACATTTCAGACAAAAAAAAAAGGTATTGGCCAAAATATGAAGTGATGGGTTAGGCTTTTTCAAGAACAATAATCTGTAATTGGCCAGAAAACTTCAATTGGTGCACTCCTACTGCTAATGGATCTAATTAAGGATGAAATGCTGAAATTATTTCAGTTTGGACTTCTGCTTGAATTAGGAAGATACCATAAATAGAGCAATGGTTAAACCTAGAATCTAGTGTTAGAGCTGAAAGGTATCAAACCACAATTTAATGGAATTTGAGAATCGTAACACATCAGCTCAGTAGACATCATCCCAAAACTGAACTTTGGGAAATTTACTTTGGCAGGAGCCTAAACAGTAGTTCTTCCATCTCATCGACTCTCTGAAGTGTGTTAGCATGAGTCACTCTTAGCATCTAGAAATGTGCATTCTTGCCTGGTTTTACTGCCCATTTCTGACTGATTATCCTGATGACGTGGAGCCAAGGAGAAGTGCAATCTCACAGCTGTCTGGAGACTTGCAAGGGAACCAGAAATGTTCTTCTGGCCATGCATATATGCACTCAGAATTTATTACACACACATACACATACAGTGAGTGTTTGGAACTTTGCAGAGGAGTAGAGCAATGAATAGTGAGGCCACATGCTTTCTCCTGCTGTGGGAAGATCGGGAGCTGAGCAGTTTTAAAGAGAGAGCAGGGAATTGGGCTCAGACATGGTTTTATTTCCTGGTTGAGTTAGGTCATTGCGTTGATGGCTATAATGCAGTCCTAGTAAAACAATGAAGTGCTAATATTAACGGCAGGCATCATTGTACTAACTAAAGCTTATGTAGTTTTTATACTAGGATTGTTGACGTTAAAACATTAACATGTGATTAATCAGAAAAGTCTAAGGTTAATATCACATAATGCAGATAATCGCATTACCTATTTTCTCTCAGCTGCGGAGGGTTGCTTAGTTCAAAGCAGAAAAAGTACGTCACACGATCTTGTTCTGCGGTCAGAAATGCAACAAATATAGATAATATCGCTATCAAGTCGGTATCAGTTTCGAATCAGTTTGTTTAGTTTCATATTCCCTCTTGAAATTTATTTCGTTTTTGTGTTGCAGATTCTCAACTCTCTAAAAATGATGTTTTGATTTGCTCTCAATTTATATATATATTTTGTTTATTTAGGAAAAATACACATTTTTGTTCTACTTTCTCTGTTCATTATGTTATCTTTTTCATCAACTTTGTCATAATTCTCTTCTGGATTATAGCAAAAATATTTCAGAGAAAAAAAAAAAACAACATAAAAACTCCTAACATTCAGACACTTGATATAACAAACAATAGAAAAGTATCGATATCAGTATCGAAATCAGTATCAGCGATATTTCTCCTGTATTTACTTGTCGGATTATCGCAAACCTCTAGTTTGAATTCTGTTCTTGGTACCTTTACTACATGTTTTTCCCCTCTTTGTCAATTAAAGGCCACACTAATGTCAAAAACATTCTTTAAAAAAAACAAACCGCCCCCCCTCCCCGCCCCCCACCTGAAAAAAAAGCCAGTGATGGTCATTTGGATAAAACCAAGGTAGTATGTAGCCTACTCATTGAATTATCCTTTCACTGAAGCACAACCAGTTTACAGTTAACATTTCTAAATTATGTTTGAAACAAAATGACTTCTTTTAAGCCTTCCCGAATATGGAAAAAAACTTGAGATGTTTAGTTTGAGACAGTAAAACATTTTCTAGAACACTTTTTGAAAACGTGCCATTTTACATTTAGTTAATCTGAAGAATACATCTTTTAATCAAATCCCAACACTATTTTCTTTGTACACTTTAGAACTCTTTGAAACAAGAGGAAAAGTCAGCACGCAGCGTCTTCTAACTCCAAAGTTGGAAGTTTGTTAGCATTAGTCACTAGCAGCTACCAGTCAGTGTTTTGGTTGCAGCCTGTTGCACTAGCTGTGTGGGTTTTTGGGATACATGGACCCTTTTTTTTCCTTCTCCTCCTCTTTGAAACAAGAGGAAAAGTCAGCACACAACTTCTAACTCCAAAGTTGGAAGTTTGTTAGCATTAGTCACTCTTAGCAGCTACCAGTCAGTGTTTTGGTTGCAGCCTGTTTCATTAGCTGTGTGGGTTTTTGGGATACACGGACCCTTTTTTGTTTTTCTTCCCCTCCTCGTTTTCGTTCTTTCTCCCTCTGGCCCTGCTCAGCTGCTCCAGCCATCTGCGCCGTGGCAAACAGAGAACAGACAGATCGAAGCGAAGCTGAGGCAGTGGGTGGGGGGGTTGAAGGAAACAGAGGAGGTGGTGGGGGGGACACAGTTAGGAGAAAGGGAGGATCAGTTAAGGATGAAGGAGGGTCTTTAAATGTATACGATTTGGTCTGGAGGATGAGCAGAGAATGGCTAAAGAGGGATAAAAACACGATGAAGTGTGTGCCAGGGGAGTGTTTCCAAGAAGCCGGCGGAATAAAGATGATGTCTGTCCTCGTCTCCAAATAGAAGTGTGAGTCTGTGCGCAAGTTTAGGACAGTGGAAACTAGGAGGAATCACGATGTCTGGATTTTAAAGTGGGACCAGGCAGCCAGCAGTGAGCTCATTTTATGCCTTGTTTTTTCCTCGTCTCGTCACTCCTCCGTCCATTCCCACCTTCCCGGTTCTGTTCCCAGGCTCCACAGGCCAAGCGTCTTCCTCTTCGCTGGCCTCAGGATTGCCTGAGTGTTTGTCTCGCTGCTTAACTTCCTGCACAGCCGGCTGCTAAAGCTGTTTGTAAACTTCGACAGGCCAGCTTCCTGTTACCCCTCACGCTCCCCTGGCTATGTGCTGTACTTGAAGCAGCTGGGCCATTTCTGATGTGTCAGAGCGTACAGTGTTTGATTTTTATTTTATTTTTTTTACTCTCATGTGCTGTATGTTCTTTTTGTTAATTCTTCTTTTCCTGCAAACTTTTCCTACCTATATTAAGGTATAGTGCATCCTATAAAGTCTTCAATGTACATTCATGTACCTAAAATTAAGGTCTTAAAATGTCTTAAATTCATTTTATAAAAGTTTGCCTTGAATACGTTAATTACAAGTTTTAAATTTTGTCTTGACAGAACTATTTAATTTCATATACTCTATGAATTGTTTTTCCTCCTGGATCTTTCTGTCAGGCAAAAGTTTGAGTCACACTCGGGCATCTTCATTTTTCTGTGACTCAAGACGGTTAAGGCTACTATTAACTCACTGCTAATATACCCTTGCTACCTAGCTAGCATTTTTGCATCTGAAGAAGTAAATCACCAGTTGTCTGGATGAGGTTTGTACATTTCTGTGGAGACAGAGGTGTTAAATTCCATTCATCATGGTCTTTAAGTCTTAAATTTGAGTTGGTGGTAAATACACATGTACTCCCTTTATAAAAGTATTCATAGTCTTCTTTGTTCCTCTTTGTTGCACTACAATTAAACACTTTATTGTGCTTTTCTCACAATTTTACAAAATCGATCAACATCTGTAACATATTATTGTGTTGTCAAAAGAAGGAGGTATGTGGTTTGCAAAAGGTTTTGCAGATCAAAAATTCAGAAAATTGTGTTGCACTCTTGAATTTAGTCAATACTTTACTTCTTGTACTTCCGTGCTCTTTCACTAAGCACTTTTAAAATGTTATTTAGAAAAAAATTGAAATCTAAACGATTCTCCTTCTACTTTATGTGTTTCCCACATAAAACACGTTACAGTTTACATGTAAACATGTTAACAAGGCGCGAATAGTCTTGCCAGGCACTGTAATCCTAGAAAACTATTTGATACTAGTGACTCCTCTTCCACTTAGTACAGAGAACCAAGAACACAACCAGTGACCGCTACTTTTGCCAACTGTGTCGCTGAGCTTTTTAAGCAGCACACTGGGGGGTTGTTCAGCACCGCAGTCCAGTTGGCATCGAGATCAATGCAGACAATTTGTAGAATAGGCTCGTTCTGTTCTGCAGCAGACTGGTTGCCCTTCTTGTTGTTCCCCTTTTGCCCCATAAACCTATCGATCTGACAGGTTTACACCTTTTAAATGCAGCCTTACAAGTTTCACTGTCAGCTCAAAAGTCTTCTTTCTCTTGCAGATTCATCATAAATACAGTTAAAATCTTACAAAAAAAAGTATTTTAACATACTAACTTGTTTTTTTTTTGTTTGAAAATGTTAGATGTCTAATTGGGCTTGTAATTTATATAACATTACACACCCAGTTGAGATATATATATATATATATATATATATATACACACACAATGTGATACATTTATGTGGTGGTTAAAATGGCACCACCTGCCTTATCTGATTCCTGAAGCTACAAACATTCCTTCAAATCCTGATAGTGAAGCCAGACGTGTTTCATGCCTGGTCTTGTTGTCGTCTAACTCTGCTCTAAATATTCTCTATTCTTTTTCCAGATTAGTCCCCGCACTCTTCAGAAAGTCTCCTGAGCTGCCGTTGTCCTCTGAGATTCAAGTCAACCGGTCTTGCCCTGCAGAGACAGAACACCATCAATCGAAGAGGAGATGAAACCGGATGGGGTTGCCACGGCAGCACTGGAGCCAATGGAAACATTGGACTCGGATCCAGCGAATGAGCCGGCGCCGGCCGCAGAGCCGGAGCCCAACCTCGTAGACGTCCCAGCTGGGGAGATGCTGCAGCATCCAGCTGGAGATGTGCGTGAAGCGAAGCCGGCGGCAGATCAGGGTAAGGAGACCTCCGCTGCCAAGATGGTCGCCAAGGCCTCCGGCGACGCTAAAGCCAAGGCTACCAACAAGGCCACTCCCAAGACAAAACTGAGCACCACAAGCTCACCCAAGACTCCGTCCGGCCCACGTTCCAACGCGTCCCGTCTGTCGAACGGCACATCAAAGCCTCAGACGAACGGCGTCGTTAAGAAGACGACACCTGCTGCAGATAAAAAGAGCACCCCGACCTCTACTGCCACCAAAAAACCAATCGGGGCAGCAGCAACAACAACTCCCAAGACCGCAACTAAAGTTGGGGAGAAAAGGGCTCCAGGGACCCTCCCTGCTACCAACAGCGCAAAGTCAACAACTGGAGCAGCAGCAGCCAAAAAGACAACATCCAGTACTGCTAATGGGGTAAAATCCACTGCTGCTGCTGCTGCTGCAAAGAAGCCACCAGGTTGGTTGTGTTTCTATGCTGATTCCAACTTGTAGGGTGTTTTGTTGTCGTTTGTTTTTAAGTTGCAGTGCCTTGCAAAGGTACATTACAACCAAACACTTGAATGTTTTTATTAGGATTTTGTGTAAAGATGCACATATTTGCGTAGTGGATGAAATTCTTGTCAGACTTTAAAAAAAAATCCCTCCAAACATATCTGAAACATGAAATTATATAATTTAAGGGCTAAACTATATCAATTAACCACCTTACAATCGTTCAGCTGCATCATACATTAACATTGGAGTCATTTTCACAGACTTAAGCTAAAACTGTGTTCAACTCAACCTTCCTTGGGTACCTTTCTTTCATCCTTCCTCTCCCTCTACTTTAGACTGTCTAATTTTATTTCATTCCTGAGACCAGGGCAGCTCTCAGTAGCCAACTTCACAGCAGCCAGGTGCTGACTGGGTTGGTTTTCAAAATGAAATCAATTTTAACATTTTATGAAATTTAAATTTATCTTAAACTCTGATTATGGTTAGTGTAAGTGAACAAATATAGGCTGTATTTGTATCTATATCTAAAAATTATAAATACTCCATCCACTTCACAGCTCTGTGCTACTTTGCAACATGAGTTGATGTGAAAATTTTAAAGGGCGTGATTTCTTTTGCAAGGCTCTGTAAGTATAATCACACATTTTTCTGCACTATTTAAGCAAGCATTGTTTAGTGATTTGCAATAATACAATACCTACGCACTGCATGGATTTTTATGCACATTACACATGTCAAATTGACTGTTGCTGAACAATACAGGCTTTGCCCAGATCACTTTAACACAGCCTATAAAAGAAACATCTGCCTGACCTAAATCTGTGATTTAAGCAACTATGTAAGTCTGCATTGTTGAATAATGTCCTCCCAACATTAATTTCTCATCCCTGTCTCCTCCAGCTTCCAAACCCGCCTCTGCAGCTCTAACCAAGACTAGCTCTGTTGCCTCATCCAAGACGGACAAACCCCCGGTTTCCAAAGCAACCAGGTAGAGTAAAGATGATTCAAACACTATTCAGGAAAATTGACTTTTTCCTTCTACAAATCAACAAATCCACCCCTCTGATAGAAATCATCCAATTTCATTGGCTGAGAGACTGACAATCATTGCAGTAAACAGCAGTCGGTTGAAAAAGCTTGAATTTGGCTGCCGGTTCAAAGAGGATTCTGTTAAAGAAAGAACTCCCTGGAGGAACGAAGGACAATGATCCCCCACATAGAAGCCAGGCATAAGTAGGCCAGCAGGCAGCCAGTGTTGGAACAAGCCTGAGAGGAATGCCTTGCAGAGTTTCATCAGAGCGAGCATTATTCAGCTTTATTAATAAAACAAGTTTTTGGAGGGAGGAGCTTAAAGCGAGATGGGGAACAACAGAATCCTCTCAGCGGAGCTGCTTCTTTAAACCCAACACTTGTTGTGAGCTCTTGTGCGGCGGCGTGTTGTTTTCGTGTGGCGATCAGACCAACATGTGTTTCTCACCTGAGTCACACTGTGTGCATGATGTTAGATCCTGAGGAGGCTCGATGGTAGGTGAGGACATGAGTCTGAATGAAGTCTTTGTCCACATCTGAGTTATGATCAGATAGAGCCTTTGGGATTCTGGTTTGTTTGGAAAACTAGTGACTTCTTTCTTTCCTCTCTGGTATGTTATTTTGTTGGTCTGTGTGTGTTTGTTGGCACGTTGTTGAACTAGATACTGATTAAGAAAAAAGAAAACAGAGAAAGTTTAAGAATTCCCCACAAATCACTCACGGTTTGAGATTAAAAAAAAATTCTATTAGAATATGCCGTCAACTTGTTTCAATGAAAGACTCATAGAACCTCATGGCACAATAAAGACGTATTGTAATCATTTAAATTGGACTTTAGTATGATGCTGTGTTAACTGCTCAGAAAGAGAGTTGGAGTTTTCCAACTTTGTGCCCAGGAAGTAATCGGTCGAGACCAATCCGGCTTCGGAAAGTTACATTTCAGAAGCCATTGTGCATTTCTACAAAAATGGACAAAAACTGTGAGCAAATAGCATGTTGTCCACTTTAATTACATTCACACCAGGACACTGAGGTCTCAATGTCCTCAGTGAGTTTAAAAAGATTTCAGAAGTACTCTAATAGACACCCCACTTTAACTCTTCAGCTGCTTTTCATAGCCATTACCCAAAAACTCCATAAAACACTTTAGATAGATCATCAGAGGTGTTGAATGTAGTAGAACAGATAGAAGTAAATCTGCAGTCATAACAGAGAAATCATTCAGCATGATTTTTCAAATGCAGAATAAAAGTTATTGGCATGAAACAATGAAGTAGCAATGAAGTACCCTATAGTGAAAATGTGGAAGTATTTTTTTTATTTGTGTTATTGTTGCAGGCACCTCCTCTAACTCGCACTAAGCAGCCTGTCACCGTGAGTCCGGTGTTTGAAATCCCTTCCCCCCTCCGCTCCTCTCTCGTCTCCTTGTGCCCTGTGTAGCAGCTGGATTGTGGAGATTACACTCAGATTACTGCTTTATACAATGGTTGATGTGCAAACATCTCATTAAACAGAATTATACAAGGTCACGTTGGTAATCGCTTGCGTAGCGCAGAACCGTAGCTGAGCACCACATACAAACTGTCCCGATGATTTCACTCCGCACGGCTGAAAAGGTTATTGTGTTCCTCTAGTATTTGTCCCATTATCGTCTGCTCATTTGAAAACTAGGGTAGCTTAAATGCTGACTAGTAAAGTTTGAGACTAAGACCAATTCTGCCTTGAATGGCTGAAAATGGAGCGGACTTGTTAATGTACTTACCCCAAAGAGAAATCAGATAAGTAAATACAGAAAAATGATGCTATTTGCTACTCTGCTGATTGCCTCATTAAAACAAACGAACGTAACGGTAACACAGAGAAAACGGCTCCATTTAATCCAGAGGAACGACACTGACCCTTCTGAATTCTCCCAACCCAAGGGGAGTCTTCAGTTACTGCTGACTTGAAAATAAGCACAGACTGTCTAAAAATGCAAAGCAAACATAGTATAGGTCAGCCTGCACCTTAAAGGAAAAACAACCTGGTGACACACACACACACACACACACACACACACACACACACTGTTTTTGTACAGTATAATGGTGATTCAAGTGATTTATTTAGTTAATTACCATGTTAAGTTCTGCAGAAGTTTTGCTGTTGATGCTGATTCCACTCGGCCTTTGCTTAACACAAAGTATGAAAAGGCTGTGAATACTTATGTAAATGTGATTTCTTGGATTTTTGTGTTTTTTTTATAATAACTTTACAAAACCTTAAAAATGTATTTTTCCCCCACATTGTCATAATGGGGTAGTTGTGAAGAATTTTCTGGAAAGAGTTCATACAGTTTGGAATAAGGTTATAACAGAATGTGGAAAAAGCGAAGTGCTGTGGATACTTTTCGGATGCGCTGTATATTTAGACCTAGAGGAGGATTTTCTTGCTGCTGACCTACATCCCAAAGAGAGCGACATAACTACTACTGATGGGCTCCTCAAACAGCCCTGTACTCCCTTGAAGGCACTCTTGGTGTGACGTGCGTCACCTTTTGTGTCCTGTCATGGACTTTGACAGGGCCATAAATTTCAGCTTTAATTAGATTTTGCCCTTTTTTTCCCTAACTCGCTCGGTTGTTAATTCGGGGCCATTATCAGACAACTGAAGATGGACTCTGAGCTTCTGTTTGCTTGGTCTTCCTCTGCAAGTGGAGCTGATTTAATTTAACCCAAAGCAGGTTCTTGTTATCTAACAGATAAAAGTGCTTGGCTCAAACACGTTCAATAAGTGGTACCAATCTGATTCAAAACAACTCGCTAATGTTTTAGGTTTTTTGTTTAATTTAATAGCCTTAAATTGATTTTACTGGCTTGCGTTTGAATAAGAGCTCAATTTTTGTACATGAAGCCTTTTGTGTCGATTATTTCTTCAATGCTTTCTGTCTGTTTTTTGGTATTTATGTTAAGCTGAAGGGGTAAATCCTCCCTGGCTTACAGAGACGGCAGGGTTCTCATACAATACAGAGGCTACAAAAGGACTCTCCCGCTCTTTGGCGCTGTAGGCAGGATGTGTGGTGCACCTGCATTAGAGGAATAGAAGCCAATTACTATGCAGGGCATGAGTTCATCTGCCGGTGTAATACTCTGCATGATGGGAAGGCAAAGGTGGGGGAGGGAGCCAAACGGGCATGCTGGCTCTCTGGACACACGGCACATAGGCATTTAAGTCTGCCTTTGGATACATGGAAGCAAATTGAAATCAAAATGGTTGCATGAAAGGACGAGAGATGTAAAAGGGAGAAAGAATAAGGAAAATTAGAGATGCAAAGCAGTTTAGAGAGGAAGGTGAGGATAAAGCGGCTGCAGAGGAGAGGATACCAGGGCATTCAGACTTTAATGCGCAAACATCGCCGCCCATGTTCCTACATTAGTCATGCTCTTTTTCTCCACTGATGGTCCCTGAGGGATGATAAATTTTTATTGGAGTGGATTGAATGCCGCCCTCATGATTCAACAAATTAAGTTGATGTAATGCTCCGACATCGGTGAGTGCCCGGTAAGCAGCAGCAGGAAGGGCTCCTTGTTCACCAGCCCAGTGTCAAGCAGATGCCTTGTTGCACAGGCAGTAAATCTCCAGTCCCACTGTGGGTGCGGCCAGTAGCTCTGCGACGCAGTCTCGCTCCGGGGCGATTATTTCAGGATGTGGCCGCAGAGCCAATTACTAAATGGATTAGGTCGAAATGAATTGGCACACTTCTGGCTGTGACAAAAACAATGTGGGCGTTTCACTCGAACCGCAGACATAATGGAGATATTTAGGACAGGAACCGCTAGATAAAATATGCTTTTATATTTCTGTTTAAAATATAAGCTTAACATGTACAAATTATGTACTTTAATGTACAGTTTTCCTAATTTATTTGTCAATTTAAAGTCAACGAAGCAATTCAGCCCCCTTTTACTTTCACACCAGTAATTACAATCTATTATAACCGATTTCCTTACCACTCACATGGTAAAAGAGCGTGGTACAGCTGAAAACCTACCAGCCTATGGGCGTCCACCTAAACTGACTGCGTGGGCAAGGAGAGAACTAATACATGAAGCAGCCAAGAGGCCCGTGGTGACTCTAGAGGAGCTGAGTCATGTCCTCCATAAACCTGGCTCCCTTGGAAGGGTGGCAAGAAGAACGTCCCTGTCGAAAGAAAGTTAGAAGAAGTCCCCTCTGCAGTTTGCCATGTAGGCAGCAATGCTAACCTGCGACAAAAGGTGCCCCCTGATCTACACCCAAAATACCCTGTCGAGAAAAACTAACATGCACCTAATTGTAAATGCACCATTTAGAGAAGCCAATCAGAGTTGATCTGAAGATGGATGGAGCTAAATACTGTGTAATCCTGGAAGAATACCAATTTAAGGTGACACTAAGCAGGTTCTCACCTGCAGGAGCGTCGCTGCAACCTAGGGACGCAGATCTCCGCGCGCCGCAACAGCCGAGTCCAGAAAAACAGTGAAATCTGACCAAAAACGGTGTTGATCTCTGTTTGTTTTCCATTATGGTTTAAAAGCGATGGAGAGCGACTCTGAACTGTGAGTACACTGATTTTAAATGATCCAGAGTGAGTGAGGAAGGGCTCTATTTGGGATTAACATTTGGTTTCAGATTTAATTTCTGCTCATTTCATAGTTGCCAACTGAATTAAAACCAATTTTAATTCAGTTTGTAGTAATCCACATATTTTTAATAACTGAAGTGGAAGTGTCTCAGAAGAATAGAACCATACAGCATACATGTCTGCTCTATTCAGAGTTAAAGTCAGTGGACGGTTTAAAAATGAGCTAAGATATACACTGCTCAAAAAAATAAAGGGAACACTCAAATAACACATCCTAGATCTGAATGAATGAAATATTCTCATTGAATACTTTGTTCTGTACAAAGTTGAATGTGCTGACAACAAAATCACACAAAAATCATCAATGGAAATCAAATTTATTAACCAATGGAGGCCTGGATTTGGAGCCACACACAAAATTAAAGTGAAATGTTCCCTTTATTTTTTTTGAGCAGTATATTATTACTTTTCAAAAGGCTGTATTGAAAGAGTCAAGGTCTCCATTTTGTCCATGCTTCCTTTTATTTAAAGTTTTTACTTAAATTGGTTATGTATTTGATTGCAAGCTGTGCAAAATAGCATTGATATTCACTGACTCATTTTAAATGTTCTGTATGGGAACATAAACACTGTTTAAAATCTGTCTAGTGATTTCAAATTAGTAGAAAGTGCACAAATTGCTAGAAATATCTAACCAGAGAGAAAATTTTAGCATTTTCCTAATAGGTCAGTACCAGCAAACAGTAAAGCCATGTTTTTTAGGGCGTAAAAAACCCTAAAGAGGAGGGTGTAAAAAAAAAAAGTGATTCTGCCCATAATCTTCCACTTCATAATTGTGCATCCCTTTTTGTTTATTTCTCATAAAATTCAAGGGAAATACATTAAAGTTTGATTCCATAATGTCACAAATATGAATAAGTTCAAGCGGTATGAAAACTTCTATAAGGCATTCTAATAATTTCTATTATATTCTTTGTAAAATTACTTAATAAAGCATTGTTATAGATAAATTAAACTGAGAAACATGATTAGTTTAATTTAAAGTCTAAGTCTACTGATATTAAACTTATATTTAACTTCAGGTAAAATTTCATTCTACGATCCAATTTAAATAAAGACGAAGCCACTTTTATGGTACTAAACATTATTTAGACAGTTTAATTAATATATTGCCGTTGTTATAGTCGTCTCTGCTGCAAAGAGCTGCCTCAAGTCTTAGTTTTCTTTTACATACTCATTTGCCTCGGTCTCATTTTGTGGCAACATAGGATCCCCAGCAGGCAGCCGGGTTCAAAGTCAGCGGTACGTATGCAGCTCTTTGAAAGCGCGCATGCAGATCTGCATTAAGCTAAAATGTCGTCAGGGATCCTGAGGCGAACAAGGCGAACTTTCAGCGTTCTGCTGTGTGCATCAGTGGGCCGGGAGCAACTAGCTGACTGAGTAATACATGATTTTTCAGCTCCACTGCCTTTCTGGGTGTTGTGTTCAAAATTAGCTTTAACCTCAATTTATGGTGCGTCTCTATGGAAGGTCTGCGGTAAGATGGAAACAATGAAGACAGATTTCCCTCTGAGGTAAAACCAGGTCCATAATTTAAACAACGTTGTCTTGGGTGCTTGTCAGTCACTCAGCTGACAGTGAACTTAATTATAGAGCGAAGCATCACTGTATTTGTGCTTTGTGGAGCAGTTGCGGTGAACTTCTTCTAATCTCAGATTACACAAGATGTCAGTCTGCAACAATCTGTGGCCAATTCAGGAGTCATTAGGAAATAACTGATTGAAGGTAATGTAATGAGATTATAGGTTTACTGGAGCTGCATATGGTTGCAGAAGCGTCATAACATGAATATCTTTGTACGATTTAGGGTTCTCTACTAGCACTCTTAGCTCTGACTACACAAGCAAACTGACTTCCACAAAAGACTGTTGCTATGAGTTGTGCTTTCTTTTTATTAGCGTCCTGATGGTTCCCATTGCTGAATAAACTTTAAACATTTATCCACAGATGACGGCGTCCTTATTTGCTTCCGTTAGCAGAGCGTTACTATGTTACATCTTCGTTCTTCTTCTGCACCTGCGGTTAATTTTCTTTTTAATTCAAAACGGCTACCTCTGTCCACAGAGATTTTGCACATTTTTTGTCATGCTTGCAATTTGTGTACATTTAATTGTTAACTGAAAGCAAAGTTTACACATCCATTCCTAATAATTAGCCTCATTTAGCACTTTCTGGTCATGAAACCAGAAAGTGCTAAAAGTCCAAATAGGGCTTCGAAAAAGATCCCCCCACCCCTCGCCCCAAAAAAACCCCCAAAAAAACAAATGAACATTTCCATAATTTCTTCACTGACACTGGAAAGAAGTTTTCCAAACAATGTTTATTGGAAAATAACATATTCAAGGAAATGAACATGACCTTTTTTCAAGGTGTGGCTGCAGGAGCACATAACGGTCTCTAGCTCCAGTCTATCAGGCATTCACACCACACAGCCAGTTAGCCAGAAAGAGAAGCAAGAGCAAAAGGTGGAGGACTTGTGGTGTAAACAACAGATGGTGTAATCTGACCTGAAGATATCCCTGTGAAGATGAGGCCGTGTCCGTGACATTGAACCATTAGCTGGGTGTTTGTGTGATCGCTCACCTCCTCATCAGATAACCTGATGCAAGGTTCAGAATACACAATCCCAGTGTTTTAAACTGGACTCTTTTCACTGTAATCTGCTCAGCTTTTTTGTCTTGCTTTCTAGTTGGTTATTTCAGTTGTGCAAACACTGGTAATAGTTAAAGACACAGCTACATGTAAACTTTTTTTGCACGATCCAAAGGAAAGAGTGTCTTTCTCTTGCCGTTTTCTCTCAGTGACCATGTTAATTCCAGAGCTTGTTATAGTCACCCTGCCTGTCTGGATAATCTGTATTCCCTTCATTGCACAGATTATTATGATCGCTTTTCCTGAATATCCAATTAGCATCCTTCATCTCTCATGAGGCCGGTTTTTATCTTCTTATTGTCCTCATTCTTCTAACCTTGTAACTTAGGATTTTTAACTTTGTAATTCTAGTGGCACAAAAATAACTGACGCTGAATAAAGATCCTCTGTCTGGACTTTGATTGGGCTGTTCATAGAACAAAGAGGCCTTCATATTACTACTTGCAGAAATACATTTTGATGAAAACCATTTAGCTCTGGTTGCATGTTTAAGGGCCACTTCTATCCCACAGTGTCAAGTCTTCTGCAACCATTTACAGGTCCACGTCCTGAGTTGTGATGTACAGTGAATAAATATTGTGAATGAATCAAGCCCTTGAGGAAAACATGACCATTTGCAATATTGGGATTAACCCACGTTTTACTCTAATTCTTATTTTTTAGTTCATTAGTGTCCCCTTCACTCTCTCACTGAGCTTTCTGATCTTGGTCAGTAAGAAATGACATTAGGGGGCAGTGAAGTGAAATTGGGTGTACTGATGAATCAAAACCAATTTCCTTAATTCTGGGAGTTCAAATCAATTGAAACAGATTTTATCCACTGATCTTGTATAAAAATCACTGTTTCCTTTTGCTCTGCCATGACGGAGGACTGACTGCGTTCAGAGATGTTTCAGACAAAAAAATAATCCATATTGACCAAAATTGGAATTGGCAGGTCAGGCTTTTTAACGATTGGTTATTGGCCAGAAAACTGCAGTGAGAGCATTCGTAAGTGAAAATTGATCTTTGGGCCAAACTGCATGCTAGAAAAAGTAGTCCTCTTAATTTGGTATTCTGCACACACTGATAATGTTTTCAGGACTAAAACTTTCGAAAGATGCTGTCTCTAATCTACTACTAATCTACTAATACTTACTTATGTGGATCATTAGTAAAAAATCTTGCATGAACTTCGGCATTAGCTGCCTCCTGCCACCTGTTTGTTTGGTTTTAGATGCATTCCATTGCTTTTGCCTGGATGTGAGGAGAACCCAATAGCTTTGCTTTTAGAATAGTGTTCGTGTCTAACTGGGAGGACTTGAAAAGGTTATTTTTGTTCTCCTTTTAGTATTAAAAATTAACGTCGTCCCAGCCATCTTCTCCCTACCTTCCTCCTGTCGCCTGTTCTCTTTCTGCCAGCGCGAACTCGCTTCTTTATTTAGAAACAGGCAGTAAGTGCAGTGCAGACCCAGGAGATGGCACACCACAGCCTTGTCAGGACTGCTAGATGTAGGTTACTTTGCTCAGAAGTGACGTTCAAGCCAGTTTCTAGGCCAGGACGGCTGGAGCAGGGTGGCTGATGCATGGCGCCCCAAGAGTCATTCCCCCTTGTGGGGAGGGAGGGAGGAGTGCCGACTGAGCAGAAGAACGGAATTGCTGTGGGGTTAGGATGCGTCTCTAGGGTCTGTTGTGATTCATCTTCCATATAGCTTTTCTCTGTCTCTCATGAGAGTTTGTAATGGGGCTCAAGAAGAGTCAGCTGGGTCTTACTGGGCTCTAAATTAGTGCTTTAATGGCAGATTATCTTTAGATGGAGGCCCTCCTGATGTGCTGTTTCATTTTTCTTCAAATGATTTATCAAACTTTAGTAGCCTTTCTTCTATTTAGTGAAGAACCATTTGCATAGAAGATGACTAATGGAAGTAAAAAGCATGATTAAATTATTTTAGTTTAAATAATTTTTATTTTATTGCAAGCATGGATTGACTTAAGTATAAAATATTGTACTGGTGAATTACCAAGATAGTTGAAACGAGGTCAAAGATATGGGAGGTAGAACCAAACCGTTCACAGAACTTTAGACATTTACAGGAAGGACTGGGTTGTTCAACAGTTTAAGATCTAAAAGGAAATCTAATCAGTGAAACTAAGTGGAAATAACTATGATTTTCATGCAGAGATGTCAAATGGTCTTCTTTGTGTTTCCTCAGGCCCACAGCAGCTTCATCTCGACCAGCTACCGGATCCTCTCAGTTAGCCAGCACACCCAAGAACTCCACAGCTACATCCAAACCTGCCACTCCTAAAACTGCCCCCGCCTCCCCCAAGCCTGCTACTCCCAAATCAACCACCACTACCCCCTCTGGTGGCAAACCTCCTGCATCACAGTCAAGAAATGCAACCCCTATGAAAAAAGGTCACAAATCTATTATTTTTGGTTATTTGACACATTCATAAACATTAAATGTATTAATTATTTTTGCTCTAACATAAAAGGCATAATACATAATATGTAATAATTAAATTCCAGAGTGCAGACTTTAACCATATAGTGTTGTATCAAAATAGAAAAAAGTATAACATCCTGTGGTTCTGATCAGAATATTCACCCTTTCACCCTACTCATTGTGTAATTCCTACTCGTGTTGTCTTTTCCAGATGTGACCAAACCATCCCCTCCAGCAGCCAAGAAATCTGCAGAGTCCCCTCTCGCTCGCCCTCCTGCAAAGAAGCCTGCTAAACCCGAGGCCCCCAAGACAAAATCAGATGTTGCCTCCAAAAAGCCTCCCACAAATAAAGCTGTTGAAACAAAGACGCCAAACCGCTCCAAGCCACAAGAGGGTAAGTCCACACCTTCCAAGGATGTCTCCAAGACCCCAAGCACCAAAACGGCTACAAATAAGGCCCCCAGTCCCAAGAAGACTGTGGGAAGCACCACTCCTACTCCTGTCAAACGTGGTCCTAAAGTTGCAACAATGATTGAGCGAGGAAAAGAAATTGCTGCAGTAGTTGCTGCTGCTGCAACCATCGCTACTGCAGCCTCTGTCTTTGCAAACCCAGAGGAGTCTGAGCCTCCTCCAGAAGATGATTTGGAGTCATCTGAGCCCACTGTTAAAACAGAGGACGAGAAAAGACCAGAGCCTGTACAGGAACCATCTCCAGAGCCTGTGCGGAAACCAACACCAGAACCGGTTCAGCAACGGGAACCAACACCAGAACCGGTTCAACAACGGGAACCAACACCCGAGCCCGTTCAGCAACGGGAACCAACACCAGAGCCTGTGCGGGAACCAACGCCAGAGCCTGCTCAGGTGCGGGATCCATCACCCGAGCCTCTGCGAGAACCAACGCCTGAACCTGTGCGGGAACCAATACCTGAACTTCAAGAGCAAACTCCTGAGCAAGGAAGTGAAGCAGCCACCGGTGTCCGGATGTCACCTCAGATGACCGCTTATAAATTTGAAGACAACAGTTCGGTTCCCTCCTTAGGAACAACTGTCATGTCTCCCCCTTGCTCCCCGCCAGTCCCTGCCTCGCCTGTTAGAGAATCCCAGAATGCCTCCTCACTTTTGGACTTTGATGCTCCATCTGATTCCTGGAACAGGAACCAGTCTCCTACTGGTCTGGCACCCCACACGTTGCTTAATGTGATGACATTCCAAGCAGAGGAGGACAATGTACAAGGATACGGAATTCAAGGGGTACAAAATGATGAGAAAGATGATGAGGAGGAGGAAGTAGATGAGGAAGCCCTGTTTCTCTCTACCTCCACAGCTCCAGGGTCTCTTTCAGCTGTTGGACAACCTCACAATTTTGGTGCTTTGCCTTCGGGTGATTTTATTCACAAGGACCTTGTATCTTCTCATGAAAAGGAAGAGGCAGTGGAAAAGGCTGATGAGGAGATCAATGAGGATGACGATGAGGAGGAGGAATATGAGGAAGAGAGGAGACCAGGCCACCAGCTTTCATCCTTGGTCACTGACATGAGTACCTCTCAACATTCGGATGAGTTCCAGGCGCGGTCGTCAGCATTCGGAGGTTGGCATGGTGATGACCTGCTGTCTGGGATGGACTCCGAGGACATGAGCAGCTGCACCAGCAGCCGGCAGCAGGGGGTGTCCGACCTCAGCAGCACTCAGCACACCGCCATCTTAGAGGGCACCCAGAGCTCAGACGCCTTGATCGACTCCAGCCTCAGGGGCTCTGAAGGAGACGGTAATCTCATGGGTTCTCCCAATGTGGAAACTCTTGCCAATGAAGAAGAGGAGGATGAGGACGACGAGCGGGTGGACGATATGGACTTGAGCTCTGAGCAAGCTGAGGAGCATCACAGAGTGTTCCAGGAGCACAAACAAGACGAGGAGGAGGACGAAGACGTGGAAATGCACAGCGAAGGCGTGACGGAGAGTGGTGGGAATGTCGATGATGACTTTAACGAGGAAGAGCACTTGGATAACTTGACCCACTCTGGTTTGTTGTCTAGTGCTGCCCCTGCATCCTCCTGGGGCCAGACAAACCCCTTCTCAGATACTTGGACTCAACCAGTGTCCCACCTCACTGTGTCCTCCCCCAGCCCCGTGTCGGACCACGATGCAGCCGAATCTGAGACGCCAACCCAGTCTCCCGCTCAAGCGTGTGTTGACAGTAGCGCCCCATCATTCCCCCTGCAGACAGAGCAGATACCCCAGCATCATCATGACCTATTCACTGCTCCGGCTGTAGGCATGTCCCAGGCCGACACTCCGACTGGGACCGCCCCGCCCGCTCACAGCGGCAGCGAGACAAGCACTCCTGAGGACCTCCGTGACTACGACAGCAGCTCTGGAGTAGAGTCCCGCTCTGATAAACAGCAGACCCCGGTACCGGCATCACTTCAGCCCGACGTGGACCAGGATCTAGGCATTCACTTGGAGAAAGGTGATGGAGAAGAGGAAGAGGCTGAGACTCTTCCTGCTGATGAGGTGCTTGGAACCGGACCCCCAACAGCTCCTGCGTCAGTCCCTTCATCCCCGTCTACCTCCGGCGATGAGGCCAGTGACACAGAGGGGGAGATACAGATTAACGACCCAGAGGCTCCGATGACGATGGATGAAAGGGCTGCAATGGAAAGCCCTCCTCCCTCCGGTAGCTTGCCAGCTTTGGAGGAGGATGAGGAGGCAGGAGATCCAGCTATTGGAGACGGTGAAGAGGACGGAGGTGGAGCTACTCCTCAGTCAGCCAATTCTGTGGCATCTTATGGCTTTGACTGCACAACGTCCAACTCCAATGCCCACTCAATGGCAGAAAGCTGCGGAAAGAGCCCTGGCATCTTCTCCCTTGAGAATGAGGAGCAGCTTCCAGAGGAGGCTAAGGACCCCTCCCTCATCAAGGAGCTGACCCTGCCTTCATCTGCTGCTGCGGCCCTGGCCGAGGATCTGCTCGGCAACCCCGTGGACCTCATCCCTTTGGGTCACCAGGGAGATGACTTTCCCAGTCTGGATGAGCACCACCACTTCCTGCTCGGAGGAAACGCTGCAGATCATCGGGAGAAGGCGAATCCACTGGAGGGCAGCGACGACCTGGTGGACCAGGAATGTGGAGACTCCGACAACCTGACACCGTACTTCTCCACCATATGTGATAAGACTGATAGTTTTCTGGAAGGTAACGTATAAGACCCCCTATCATCCCTGGAATGCACCTTTTTCCTGCAACCCTACCCGTTTTCCCCCTACGTTATTTGTTCTTCTCTGGTTAGACGTCTTAGCAGAAAAAAAGGAGACCAAGATTGTAGAAAACAATTTTTGAGAAATGATCGAAGGAGACGGAAAAAAATGACTGTAGCGATTTTTAAATGAAGCCTCCCTCTTTCTTACCGTTCCGATCCATGTTTTGAGCGTATGGCTAAAACTCCGTAACGTACCATAGCTACTACCTTTTCTAGTCGAATGTTCTTTTTAAGTAACACTGCATATTCTGTTGCCCCTTGCGGGGTATTGACTGATTGGTCCATTGTGACTGGGCCTGTAAACTGAGAAAGAGGAGAAAAAAAAAAAAAAAAAAAACAGATGAAAAGATATGGACTCTTTGTGTATTTATCCTACTGTTTTTACCAAACAAATGTCAATGATTTTTTTTTTTTTTTGTATTTACTTGTTTTGTTTCCTTGTTATTTTTTTTGTTTGTTTTTGTTGAACCTGGTCCTCCCTACCCTGTGTGCACACTTCGTGTTCTGCACTATAGCGATAGTCACATATTCCTTTTGAAAACTTTCTGTTCTTGTTCCAAGACTTTTAGCTATATTAATAATAAAGGTTAGGTATTAACACTGCTGGTTTTGCCTTTACAGTTGTAATGAGGTAGGTGTGGGAGGATTAGAGTTAGGGCTGACCCAAATGCTTTGTTGTTTTGCCGCCATTACTGATGTCCAAATTTGGACTTGAATACGTGGATTCTATGTTTTCCTTCATGTACTATACCACTAAAGCTGAGATCACGCTATTTATGCTTGCAAGTGTTGATGTGAGTTGCTAATTCAAGCTTTCATAAGTGCATCCAGACAGTGGCGGTTCTTGGATGAATGGTACCCTGGGCGAGCCCCTTTCCTCTGCATCGTAATCAGTTCCACCACCACAACTAATGCGCTCCGGTGAGAGAGAAGATTCTCTGCATCAAAGGTTCTGAAATGTTGATCTAATTGTACTATATCAACAGAATAATTGAGTTCAGGTTTGATCATTTTTACCTAGAGCTAATTAAAGGAATTATACGTTCTTTTAAGAATCGTGAAATGATCCTTAATTTAGTTCCAGATTGGTATTAATCAGATACCTATTTCTGTGATAACCCACTACCTGGATGTTGCACAAAGCAATAGAAAACTCTCTCTTGGAACATGTTTTTCTGATTGGTAAATGCTGCCCTGGGTGAAGAGCCACATCGCTCCATATCAAGAACCACCACTGACTCCAGATCATTTTCAATAAAGGTTTGAAGCCTCAAAAACTGTATTTGGGACAGCCCTAGTTAGATTGCAGTCGGTGGCGTCGTATACGTGTGCTTCAAGAGGTTCTATGCTTATTGTATTTGCATAGGTTGTTAAGGTGCAGTCACTTCCAGTATCTGCTTCAGGTTTTCTTCAGGCCTTTTGTTAGCTCATCATTTTGTGTCTTAAGAGGATAACGAGTAGTGCATTATTTAATAAAACCCTGCATTACCCTACATGGCTACCACAGTTTAGCTTTATACTCGAGCATTTTCATAGCAAGCTTTTGGTTTACTATTTCAACAGTATATTGCATGTTTAACTAACAAAAAACACTCTGTAATACCTGAAGTTTGAAACAGTTCAACAGTGGACATGTTCAGAACTGAATGGTTCGACACTAGGTTATCTTTCAAAATTCCATTAAAACATCATTGCAAGGCATTTTGTTCCTGTTTCTTACTTTCCCAATGGGCCCAGCATGCCTGAACTTTGTGTCCTTGTGTTCCAGTGGCCGTGTGTGTTTGTAAAGTGGTGTTTGTGCAACGAGATTCCCTCCCCCTGGTATCCTCTGTTTTTCATCTGGGAATAACGGATAAACAGGAAGCAATGCAACATGATACAATGGTGTATCTGAAATGGAATTTTGGCCAAATCCAAGAGGTAATAAAGAGGAATCACAGTGACTTATCTATCATCCTTACAGGGAATAACGACTTCTTCTTGTAGTGTCACATTTAGTTCTACTTCAACACCTCTAGTTTATGTTGTATCTATGTTCAGTCTACTGTTAACGTTCAATCAAGAGTACAACTCCAGAGGTAAATATTGATCCATTTAGGGCCATCGGCTCTCAAAAATTGAAGAATGACATCGCTCTCGTTAAAAGCTTTGTGTTTAAATATGGTAGCAACTCCTCCTAACAAGTTGCTACCAGTGTGAGTGTTATTCCTATCCAGCACACTGGTAAGCAGGACCACATCCTCTGTGTTTAGGCCTGTGGAACACATTCAAGTGTTAAAGCACAAACATTTCCTCTGACCTGCCCACTCTAGCTCATTAAGACCGTGAACCTTGTTCCAACTCTCGTCCAAACATCCCCTTGAGCCGAACTTAATGCACTGGTGATGGGAGTGCCTTGCAGATGTATTCACACCCTTCTGCTTTTTTGGCTCGTCACCTTACAAACTTCTAATGACATTTGGCTCTTGCCCGCTTCAAAGCATCAAATATAGATTTGACTTCAGACGGTAAATTAGGTATATAGTTGACGCATTGAACTGGGAGGTTTGGGTTTTTCATATTTTGAAATCTTAAAACCCACTGATCTGTTTTATCCCTTGTTGTTTTTCACACATCTGTTTTATTCCTCGGTGGTTCATTGTATTGCTGGTATTGTCGTCCATCAAATTATTTGACAAACCGTCTTCAGAGAGCAACAAGTCATGCCAACTGCCCATGCTAAAACATTGATTATTTTTTAAACAATATGGTTTATGGTATCTTTAAGGAAGTTACATTTTATAAACCCCTTTTTCTGTTCACATTTATACCTCTTCCCTCATGTCCAACTTCTCCTCGGCCCCCTTGTTCCACCACCACCTGTTCTGTTTGATGCATGCATCTCTGCTAGATGCTTCAAGTGACCCTCACTGTCTCACAGGAGACGCAAAGCCCTCTGAAGTGGACGAAGACTACAAGTGGCAAACATGCACTCAGGAAGACAACTGCAACCAGAACCACTTTCCTGGTATTCCAATAGCCAACGGCCACTACTTGGCATTGGTGCCGGGTAACAGGAGACCCATCGATCCAGCACTAGCAGAGCATTTCTCCAGAATCGCACCCCCTCCTTTAGCGCCCAAATCCAGCACTGAGAGCAGCTACATAATTGAGGAGCAGCTGAGGAGGATGGAGCAGCACCGTCAGGAGCAGGCGAGACAGAAGAGGCAGTGGCTGGTGGAGGAGCGGCTCAGGCTGGAGCAGCAGAAGCAGCTGGAGAAGCAGCGCCGAGAGCTGCTCCAGCTTCGGCTGCAGCAACAGCACCAGGAGCACCGTCAACGCAGGCAGGTTCTGCAGTGGCAGCTGGAGCTGGAGCACCAGTACCGCATGCAGCAGAAGCAGATCCAGCAGCAGCAGCAGCTGAGGAGGAGCCCGACCGGCGTGATGCTGTCCCCGTCGTCTGGCCTCTGCACCATCTACGAAGCCATGGAAACCAGCGACGAGGAGGACGAGGTCAGGGGGGAGCCGAACAGGAACGTTCTGGTGGGACGGAGGAGGCTGCTGCCTTCCCAAGCCGTATCTCAGGGCTTCCAGAGGCCCCCGCGTCAGGTGGCTCCACACGACCTGGAATGGAACAAGAAGGTGGACATAGTCCAGCAGCTCATCAACCAGTCCCTGATGCTGTCCAGTGATGGAGGGTGCCCCCCGCTCCTGCTCCTACCCGTAGGGACCGGGGGAACCCTAAGCCCGCTGAAAAGCAGCATGTGGCCCAACCTTCCTCCACAGTTCAACCCTCCTACGGCTACAGTGACCTCCGTCAGCAGTTACTCCCCAGACAGCCGGGGCAGCTCCCCAGCTGGAGACTGGACCGTGGTGGAGGTGGAGACCCAGCACTGACGCACCTCATCAACTCTGTTTGTTTTCCAACTTCACAAAAAAATACAACCAAAAGTATCACTTTACTATTTATCACAATACATCATCATTGGGGAAAATATTTTTTAGTTTAATCTAACTCTGATTTCAGTGTGTAGTTTCATCACACAACCATTCAAACTTGAATTTCTGATGTTTTTGTACTGATGTGATCCCTGTAACCCACACAGACATGCACTGTGTCCTTGTTCTGCATCGTGTTACCTTTACACAAGAACTTAATGGCACTCTGGTGTTTTACTGTGAAAGGTACTGTAACTACTTCAAAACATTCCTGTATTGTAGTCTCTCTTATATCGTTAAAAGAATCTAAAACCAAACACAGTGCCTTGCTAAAGCACTCATACACCTTGAACTTTTTCAGAACGGAAGAGTGACAAAAAGAAGCCATGAGGAGCCACGTTGACAGCACAACTAATATGAAAGAAAGAAGGCACTATGGCCAGTAGAGAACAAACTTGTGGACATTTTTCATATTCCTTCTACTTCATACTTAGGCACTACTTTGATCTCATCTCTGCCACTTAAATATATTCAAGCAAAAACTTGTACAATGATGCAAAGCGGAAAAGTTCAAAGTGTGTGAATAACTTTGGAAGGCTCTATATTGGTCACCCTCGAGAATGAGGGATTAAGCTATGACAAGTTGCACTAAAGCCAAATGTTTATGTATTTCAACGTCCTTTTGCAGGTAAGTGGTTACACCGTTAACAGATGAATATATTTGTGAACTTTTTTTATTCTTAATTCCTAATAGTAGGATATCTAAGGGGGTGGAATGGGGAAGTCTTTATTTGGTCCCTCGCTACACTTTTCTTGCTAAGTACCCACAGTGACTTCACTGGACGACTGGGTCCTTAAGAGATCCGTCAGTCATGGAGGAAAGCCGGGGAGGAACAGGAGAAAGGAGCTCCTTGTTCTACTCAGAGGAAAGACTTCAAGGGTGACGGACAAAAGGGTAAAGGGGTGGCGGGGGGAAGAGGGGACATTCATCCGCCCTCTTCCCTCTCACATTCCAGGATCGTAGCCTCATTTCCTGGGTCGGTCAGTATTTGGGGCGTCTTGGAGGGTACAGATGATGTCATGGTGGCAGAGAAAGAGGATGTTGTGAAGCCGGTCCGGATGGGCACCACACTGGTTTGATGTTATCGACAAGAACTAAAACCAGGTTTAGTTTAGTCACGTCATTCGTATTTTCTATATAAATGTCTTCCTTTGATGTGTTTTATTGTGATTGGTGCAATTTATGAGAAATATGTTTGATAGTTATACAAACACAGGCCAGTAAATCCAAGCCTGATGTGTTATTAGAGAAAAAAGCACCTGTTCTCTCTCTGTCTGTTCAAGGTAGGTGATTTCAGTTAGAAATATCAGAAGTGAGGAAACACTGACACCTGCTGGTGGCATGTGTGAAGCACAACACCACAAGTCAAACCGATTTTATGTTGGTTTTCAACAGCCTGTTGGTACGATGCACTTTTTATAAGACTAAAAAGTTATATAAATAATATTAAATCAATATTTGAAAGATAAAATTAAAAGCAAGACATAGTTTTCTAATATATTTATACTCAAATTATTGGGCATGACGAATCAGACTGTGTAAAGAAGTATGCATTTCCCTAATCTTGTATGCTGCTACATTTGATATTAGAAATTTTTACCTATTTTACCACAACACTGTTATGTTGCATGCAAATATACACCCGTGTTGTTCAGGAACAGCACCGTGCCTGAAGCTCCTTTTCTCTGTTTTTGTCTATTAAACCTCTTATATTGCTACTGTTAATATGAAATGTGACCGTTTACATGCTGTTGTTTCTGTGAGAGTTAGTCGTACTTTGTTTTGTGAATAATTTGCATGGTGAAGAGCTAAAGTCAAATACGCTATGAAAACTAGACAAACACCACATCGACCGTCTCATTAAATGCATTTTCTCACATTTGTGTTGTTCACTGTGGTGCATTTGAGTGACCTGGACTTCCTGTCCACACTCAAACAAAAAAGGATTAGCTTTGTTTTGTTCTAGATCTCAGGAGTCTCTCAGTTCAGTTAGTAGAATGCTTTTCCTCTCACGTGTGAAGTTCCTCAAGGGTTAGTTCTCACTCCCCTGATTTTAATTTCACCTGCTTCTAAAAAACAAACATTTCCTGCCATTTCTTGGCAGATGATCTCCAGTTTTACATGCCTTCCAAATGTAAGCATTTCATGTTCAACTGTAGAACTACTTCTGCTAACCATTAGCAGTTTGGTTCTCTACTTCCTTTATGACTATCTTTCAATAAAGGCAGTCTTCTTGGTCATCTTTGAAGGCGTGTTTGATTAATGGAGTATCTCCTAAGGATATCGGTGCATAACGGTGGACAAAATATATGCTACACTTTTCACATTTGTATTAGTAACCATGCTAATTCAAAGATAAACAACAGAAAGGTAAATATGTGGGAGTAAAGCTTTTACATCCATATTTTAATAAATGTAATGTTTCAAAATACCTTAACTAAACGTATGGGCTTTCCTTTGCCTCCTTTTGTGATTTACACATAAATTAATAGAAAACCATGTATTATTGTTCTTTGGGGTTGTGCTCCTGCTTTGTGTTGATCTGTGTCAACGTTTCAGATTAAAAAAATATTTAAATTTGTGGTTGTAATGTCACAAAATGTGAAAAATGTGCTTACCCGTCTGTCTTAAAGCTGATTTTTAACTGCCACGTTTGGTCATTACACTGGTTCACAAACATTCAGTCTGTTTCATAATGAATAAATGTCCGTGTGGGACTTGGTGAATCCGCTCTCCGTGTTTATGTGTTGGTCCCAGTTCCTCCTCTGTCCGGATTCTGAGACACAGAGGTCGTATTGATACCGCGGCCATCTTTACTCTGCGAGCCAAATAAAACTTTCATTCACGAAAGCAATGTTGTCATTTGCTGGAGAACCACAAACGTATTAGTGTTAGTATCAGCGAGTAATTGACTTAAATAACTGGAACTTTTACTTCATTGAAAGTGTTTAGAAAGAAAAAGATTTCAAAGGATGAAACTGAAATGTCGGTTTTAGACAAGTGACACATTCAAGTAAGGTTGACGCAGAGGAACGAGTCAACTGTCTGAGTCGCCTGGTTGACTGTTACAAAGAAGAAGCTCTGAGCTGAAACTTTCTGGAAGCACAGCCAGTTTCTCTCTGGCTCCACGAACGTCTGCATGAACCTTCACTCGGCACACGGATGAATCTGCATTCTGCGACGCTGTTCTGAACATTAGCAGCCACTTTCACAGTCCAGACCTATGTTTTATTTAACTGTTTATCATATTTTTAAATACAAAAGGATACCTAACAAATGTCAGATCACAGATTCTAAATCTAACACAATTTCTACATATTATGCATCATTGAAAGTTTTAAAATGTGCGTTAAGAAGGGACTTTAACGTCTAAACCTTTTCAAAAGAGCCAGTAGAACCAATTCACAGCGGTTTCTGTGTAGCTCTCTGGTGTGATTTACGCATCGGTGTAACAATTATCATGGGTTTTGTCTTAATTCCCCACATGGGAACAGAACATCGGGTCCTCCTTACCTCTGCAGCGCCTCAAATGTAATTAACTACCCTTTGTTCACTTCTGAAACTCCCTGGCACACAAATCTCCAATTCCTGCTTTTCCATCCCCTTACTCAACCCTGCAGAGAGGACCTGTGTGGCCTGCTTTTTAAGGCACCGCGTCCTCTTTTGGATGCGTGACTGAGACATGGACACGTTCTGAAACCGTCTGTGTCTCTGAGCTGAATGTCTCCAGTGATAGAAGGAAAGAAAAATAAAACGCTAAAAAAAAAGAAATCTGGAGGACTGATGCTCCCGTTCTGATAAATGTTCAAATGCAAAGGAAAGAAAGATGCTGTTTCCAAGCATCTTCCCAAACACTTTGATAAAATTAGCACAAAAAAAAGACCTAATAGAGATATCCTTGAAAGGCAAGATAAATACAGAGCCGCGGCTTCTCTCCAGATGAATTTTCACTTTCAGTCACCTTTATTCGGCGCATGGAGAACCTTCCCACTTTGGGAAATAAAAAGCACTCAACTGAAAAAGTCAATGTTTTCTCTGCATATGTGAACGTTCCTCCCTCACTGGTCGGCGTCAAACTGACGACACTCCAGACAACAGATAAACGAACGCCTCGAACTACACTCTGCATCCATCTCAGGGCTCAACACAGAGGAACAACAAACTGGTGAGTATAAACTTTGGACTCTGTTACATGTATATATTTTTGAATAGTTGTTTTTTTTTTTTAAACCCTCTTTCATCATGATAAAAAGCTGACTGAAACTGAGTTTGCTAAGGCCAGGAATCACTGATTGGTTAGTTTTAGTCATTAGACAAAATTTTGACTTTATAAACTAGAATTTATAAGAATAATTCAAGAAAAAAGAATAGAGTTTGCAGGTTTTTCTTACAAATGCAAATTAGAGGCATTTTTTAAACTTTCATATTAATTTCAACTTTTACTCACCTGAAACCACATAAGGGACTCTTACTGTTAATAACAGAACACTGAAGTATACTGCGATTCTTAGTATGTTACAAAGATGTAAAGACAATTATCCCAATGAAGGAAAAACATGTTTAGGTGCAGATTACAGTATATTTAGCTAATATCATTTAAAATAGTTTGGTCTGTGATGGACTGTCCACAGTGGACCCTCCTTCTCAACCAGTGGCTGCCCTACAACATTGCAAAGATGAGCGGCATAGACAGTGAATAGGTATTTAAAATAGTTTTTTATGAGAGAAACCTTTCAGTTATAAACGTTCAAAATGGCACAGATGTCTACTTTCACAGCTTTGTGGCTCATAGGTCAGACATACAAATAATTCAACTATTTACCGATGACTTAAGTCTCTTTTTCAACAACTTGAAAATTACAAGTGGACTTGTAGACCAACAAGTCCTAAAATTTACTGTTTAGGACAGATTGGGATTTGCTTATTGAACTTTTAAAAGACAGGATTGAATAAAAAAAACACAATTAACTCAGTCTGTAATCTCAAAGGAAATGCTTATTGGCTAAAAGCTTCACTCCTCTATGAGTGAGCTTAACCCCACAGGAGTGTAACCAGCCTGAAGTGAGGCCTTCAGCCGAGGGAGGCTGAAAACACCGTTTGCAGATTCGCAAAGGGACCAAGGCTAAAAAAAGGTCTTCAATAAAGCAGAACAGACCCCCTGGTGGTGAGGAGTAACCACAGGCTCTGGTCTCAGTGGTCCACTGCTGGAGGCAGCTCAGGTGTAATGACTTTAAGACAGTCTTTAAGTTTCAGATCGTCTGCCAACATTTCTACAGCTTTGAAGAAAGTCTTCAGAGAAGTTCGTGTTCCTTCTTGTGAGAAAATACACAGATAATGAGGACAATGCCTGGATCAGTGCTTCTCAATGCCGGTTCTCGAGGACCACTGACCTGCCTGCTTTAGGTGTCTCCCTTCTGCCACAAACCTGTCTTGAACAGGCTGGTGATTAACAGGTTTCTGTAGCACTGGATGGGATGCAGAGGAGCTCATGTAATGGTTTGAATCAGGTGTTCTGGAATAGAGACACGTCTGAAATATGTAGGGCGGTGGTACCTGAGGACCGGAATGGAGAAACACCAGCATAAATTACCCTGATGTATTACATCAGCTTGTCAACATTTAGCTTTATTTGCTCTATTTCCCATTTTAGTACCGTTTGTTCAGAATTTGCTTGAGAAACAATTTCCTAGCTCTAGATCAGGAGTCTTCAACTCCAGTCCTCAACCTCCAGTGTCCCGCTACTTTCAGATCTGTCCCTGGTCCAACACTCTTGAGTCAAATGAATGAATTACCTTCTCCATATGGAGTCAAGTTCATATGGAGGACCCAATTATTTTAGTCAGGTGTGTTGAAGCAGAGACACATCTAAGAGTTGCAGGATACCAAGGTCTTGAGTTGAAGACCCCTGCTCTAGATGGTCTTACATCATTGACTGTCTGTGTGCAAAGAATGATCTTTGCTGTTTAAATCTGAGAGTCGGTGCTCTTTTATGCTCCTATGAAAGGGTGGCGCCTGTAGAAGAAGCCCCTCAGGTGTCTCAAGCGTCTTCTTGTTCAGGGACTCAGGTTTCCCGGAGGAGAGCCCACACAGACACAATAACAAGATAACAGCCGGAGGAGAGGTCCTGTCGGTGTTTGTAACATGTTTTTAGTGTCTGACGGCTCCCTCTGCAGGGACTTTGTTCCTGCTGAGATTCAACTTCTCAGAGATCACAACCCAAAGGAGCTACTAAAGAACATCTTGTCTAAATAGGCAGTTTGAAGTTTTACTCAGATGGAAAAGGCTTAGAAAATGGAACAAATCTTCAATCTAACTCTGGCCTTCAAAGGAAATATTCTTTTGATCTGTCACTGTATAAATCTGAAGAAAATCATGCTTTTTCTCTGCTTCTTCCTTTTAGGGTCCTTGTTTTTGCTGGTGAACATGGAGAGATACACCTTGCCTCTTAACTCAACCTCTGTTCCTGCACAACTCCCCTACAACGCCACAGTTTATATGAACGGCTCTTTCAAACCTTTCAGTGTGTTTGATGGCTGTGACATGTACATCGAGGCAATTCTTTTTGACCTTACCTTTCAGATTATCAACGTAGTCGTGGGAATACCTGCCAACCTCCTTGTTATTGCGATTCTCATCCACAATCACAAAGAACCGTCCACTTCAGACCTGTTCCTGGGCTGCTTGGCCTTCATGGATGCCTACTTTGGCAGCATGACGCCCCTCAGCTTCTTAAATCTTTACCTCTGGCAAAGCAAAGAGGTGTGGTTAGCGATTAAGTTTTCCTTTGGAGTGAAAGACACCAGCGGCCCGTTGTTTCTCTCTTGTATCTGCTTGGATCGATTTGTGGCGGTGCTCTTTCCAATCACGTTTGGGCAGCTGAAGTCCATCAAGTACAGGTTAAGCCTCACCCTGCTGGTACTCTGTCTCACCTTTGCCTACTCTGCTGCCAAGATGGTGGGCGGTCTCCCCAACTTCGAGAAGGTGTTCACTGGTGAGGTCCTTGCAGCTTTCGCCTGGATGGTGCTGTGCAACGCAAGCATCTTATGGGTCCTAAAGAAATCCCGTGGCGTTGGGAAAGACGAAATGCATCCCATGAAGAAGAAGGCATTCAAGATGGTGCTCTCCATCCTCTGTATCATTGTGTTCAACTATCTGCCTCTCGTCGCACTGTTCCCATTCGAAGACCATTACTCCCCTGATGTGTTTCGTTGCTATGTGCAGCCCGCCGGCTTCGCTTTTCTCAACATCAGCAGCACTATCCAGCCACTTGTCTACCTGTCCCGTCTGGAGAAGGTTCCTTTCCTCCCAGAAACTTTTATTAAGAAATTTTCTTCCTGCATCAGCAGAAAGAAAAGTAAAGAAGTCTCCGAACCAAAACCATCTGCTTAAATTTATATGAAAACAGAACAGCATGTCATGAAAGAGACTGGAGAAGATTCCTTAATAGGTTTAGATAGAAATGCAATGATAACCATGTTTACCATTTTAACTAGAAAGGGTAGCAACTTCATAATGATATTAAATGTATTGTCATGTGATGACGTTCAATGAGAAGTCAACTGTTTGGGTTGGGCGCCACCTTGTGTACAAAAATAAAATACATCTGACAAGTTTTGAGTTGAATCTGCTGTATTCAAGGCATTTAGTATGTTTTTCTTAATTCATTACATATGAAATATCAAAAAAGACTAAGGAACATATTTGAAAGTTCTGTATCGTGCAGGAGGACATTGTTGTTTCAGAAAGTCACTTGGTTTTCTCAACTACCTTCTAAAAATAAAGCACAAAAAATAAACACAAAAAATAAACACAAAGATTAACAAGTAAGTTAATCTTCAAATTACAACAGACAGAAAAGAGCAAACCTACAATGACAAAATGCAATCAAATTTAATCAACATCTTTACAGATATAGATTTTAGATGGATTTTTTGATAACATGTATATATACATGATTAGTTTAGTTGGTTATATATATTGCGATTTTGTGATTAATCTCTTTTTTTTTCTTCACTTTCCATTGGGAAAGTGTTTATGAGTTTAGTTTGTGAAATATTGCTTCATTTTTATAGCATCCACAGTGATGCTCCCAATTGAATGCCTAGACCAATGTTCCTCAACCCTGGTCCTAACCCCCCCGCTCTGCATGTTTTAGATGTGCCTCTATTCCAGAACAGCTGATTGAAATGATTGCATGACCGTCAAGTACTGCAGAAGCCTGTTAATCACCAAGAGATACCATTCAGGTGTGTGGCAGAAGGGAAATTCCTAAACCATGCAGGACAGGGGGCGGTGAGGACCAGGGTTGAGAAACACTGGCCTACTCGGTTCTTTTAAAATTTCCACAAGCTTGAATTTTTTAAAATCTTCTCTGAAGATTTAAAAGTACAATTCTTCTTGAAAAATAAAAGTGAAATTTAGAGTTACTCATCCCGCTCTTCTCAAGGGCTGAGTTTGCTTATGCATTGGGCCGGTTCTGGTCTAAAATACTGCTTTAAACAGTGATGGACTCCACGCACCAGCTTTCTCCGATTTTTTTCTTTTAATGCTGTTTTCATCCTGTCATCAGACACACACGCAGCAGAGCTTTAATGTGATCAACAAGTGGCAGCAGGGGGCGCTCGGCTGCCGCAGTGAGGATTTCCAGCTGCATCAAGCTGCGCGTGGAAGCCAGAGATCACAACATAAGCAAACTGTGTGAAATTCAAAATAAAATCATCATCATTAGTTTTATTTATAAAGCGATTTAGCGCCAGCCACGACTAAAACAAAGTGCTGGACATGGGAGATAAGATAAAGGAAAACAACAAAACAAAGTGACAAAGCTAAGCACACAACAGAGTAGCTGAATTAAAAAACACAAAACATAACAAAGTAGTAAAACAAATAAAATCATACCAAGAAACGCCAAGAAAGTCAAGTCACAGTTGGGTTGAATGGCAATGAGAGAAAATAAGTGTTTAGAAGAGTTGTTGTTTATTATTTAAAATAAGTATTTCATTTACTAGAATTCGAAATCGACATCTGAAGTACATCTCACGACCTTTATTCTGAAGGCCCATTCCGGAAGTTGTGCTTGTACATTCTGCTGGTTTGACCCCTCCCTCGTGCCCCTACCCCCCTTACAGCATCAGCCGCCGGCTCCCAGCTCACCGCAGAGCCGAGCAGCGACGCACCGCCTCCGGCGGGGGGAATAACATGGCTCCAGGTAACCGCAGCGCGGAGAGTCCCGGCGAGACCCGGCGGGGTTCCGGCTCCTGTCCTCTCCGACGATGAGCAGGAAGCCCCGCAAGCAGCCCTCGCTCCCTCCACTACCTACACTACCGGACTGCGTGATGCGGACCCCCCCGTCCAAGAGTTGACGTCCTGCCGCTTGGAGGTGATGGTGTCCTCGCCCCCTCTGCTCAACCTTCCGCCGCGCTCCAGACGTTCGGGATCGAAACAGTCACCGGGACTTGCTGCTTATTTAAACTATTTTTATTCTAATATTGACGGACTTGAGAGGAAAATTTCTACTATGACCCGACGGCCATAGCCTGAGCTAAAGATCATTGAAGTCATCTGATAGCTGGAGCTCATGATGGCCAACAACAACGAGCTACAGGTTAGTTTTTCAACTTTTTATTTTTTAGGCTGCTCTCATATCCAGTCAAAGTTGTCTATTTCTAATTACTTGAAGGGCCTTTCAAAAGTTGTCGCTCTTTAAACTTTTCCGACATCTCGACAGTAAAAGCCACAAAAGTCAATGTAATCTATGTGAAATTAAAATTAATCAGTGGTTTACAAAACCCACATCATAACTTTGAGCTAATCCATTTATCTGTAGTTTTTGCTGTAAGGTTGTGGTTGTTGTCTTGCTGGAAGGTGAACTTCTGTGCCAAACTTTTACAATCTGGATCTTCCTGTGTCTGTTGGAGAAACACAGCCCCACACCATGATGCTGCCACCCTTTGTGTTTCAATCTGTGGGTGTTTTCATGGTGATTTCATTTGATTCTCTTCCAGGATTATTATATATTTTGCTCAGTTCATCTTCCAAACAACTCTTACCAGCTCCCCCACAGCATGATGCTACCACCACCATGTTTCAGTGTGGTGTGAATTCATTTCATTTCATTTATTCATTTATTTAAGCGGGACAATGCATGCAAACATAGAACAGAACAAGTAAGTAAGCTGAAATTTTGCATTGCGTTTGGATGTAAAACTGTTTATTATGCCCTTATCTTGAATTCAGTTCAATTTAAAAAAATACTTTTTGTCCCAAAGGGAAAGTAAACGTTGTAAATCTAATCATCCAACTATCTTCAAAGTATCTTTGCGTATAGTGATGCTGTGGGGCAAAGAAGGACCTCTAGTAGCAGTCAGTCTCACATCGAATCTGAAGAGGCCTCTGACTGAAGACTGTCGCTAACAGCTCAGTGTCTGGGGAGCCGAGAAAATATTTTTTTTTTTTTTTTTTTATTTTTTTTTTTTTTTTTTTTTTTTACAGTTCTGCTCCAGTTTATGGCCACGTGAAATTCCAATAGAATACATTCTCCACAAATTAAGTGTTCAGAAACAGAAAATTAAGTGAATCGATACAATTTATTTATCAATTCACCATTAAATATCTGTTAAATATCGTGACAAAGTTGCTAAGTTGGCAACTTGGCAAGATTGAGGTGACTTTTGTTAATTTTCCAGTCTGTCAGTCAGTCCTCTCTCAAGAACGGAGCTAAAGGGGGCGATGGCTGATTTTCACACCTTTGGATAAGATCAATTTCTCATTTAACTATCAGCCAATCACCCAAAACTACAGCAATCAGGACCCATTTTTTTTGTTGTTGTTGTTTTTGGTGCATCCCCAATATATTTTGAATCATGGTGTCATCAGAGTTCACAAACAGTCAGTGGCGAAGAGTCTTTAAATGAGGAAATTTCTTGGAGGGGGGAAAAAAAACTGCTGAGTTCCCATTCTGATTGTGACTCCTCAGCAGTCCTGCTCCATCACAAATGTGTCGCACAGACAGAAATAGTCACAGTTAAGCCAACCGCGTTTACTTCCACCGTCCCTCTGGGGGCTCGCCGGATCGGCCCGGTTGAACTGACCCCATGTGAGACGCAGCGTTCATCCTCAGGTGGAGTTGTGTGAAGCATGCTGGTGTCTGATTTAAGGCTTCCAGTTACGCTGGTGTCACTGGAGGAGGTGAATGTTAAAAAATTCAAGGCAGCGAGTCGCTCCAGAGACCTCGGACCCCCGGCCGCCCGCAATTGCTCTGAGAGGGCAAAATGTCACAGCCGCAGAAGCGTACCTCATATTTCCTGTTTCTGTCTGCTCATGTTAGCCTGCATGCGTTTGGTCTTTTCACTCTGTAATTCTGCAAACCGCCAGGCAGCCGGTGTGAAGATAAGAGATGTAAAAATAAAAGAGAGCTGTCGCGTAGTTCCCCCCCGGCTCAGGCTGTTCCGGGATCAGTTTGAGTGACAGAGCGATTCTTCCCTGAATGGAGAAGGTGTTTTCAGTGTTTCCTGGAAGGCTGTGCTGCGCATGTGGGCATGTGGAGGAACGCTAACAGCTGATGTGGGCTGCAGGGAGCCTTGGAGCGGGATATGGTGCAGCCTACAACAACGCCAAGCAGCACTCCACAGCCGTGTTATTCTCAGTTTGGGTTTAGTTTCCACTGAATGCGAGTGTTTTCAGTTAGCACGACTCACACCGTGTCACAGACTTATAGATGTAGTGTTTTCCCAAATGTATTCATAACCTCGAACCATTTCATTAATGCTACAACTGCAGCTTTCTTTTCTGCATTTTACTGACATGTGGTAGAGCTACACTCAGGAGTGCATAAATATGAAAGTGGAAGGAAAATTGTATGTTGTTTGTGCAGTTATAGACAGGAAACATGTGGCATGCGTTTGCGTTCAGGCCCTTGTTCTTCTCACACCCCAAAAAAACACATCTGACTGCCATCAAAAGTCACAAATGAGACTAAAATAGAACTTTTTGAGCTATAGTGGACCCTATGAAATGACAGGATTCAGGTACTAAGATTAGCTTAGATCAGCAAATACTTGAGACCCCCTCTAAAAATACTATAGATGCCTGTTTTAATAGTTCACACATTAAATATACCTTATTAAGCTTTAATATGCACAGTGGAAACTGTCTAACCACTACCACAGAAGCTAATCTTTACAGTCTTCCTTATCTCTGCTTTTCAGCCAGTCAGCAGCAAGGAAAATAAATGGTGCTCCTGCATGGACAGACACCAGCCAATAGGGTGGCTGGTGTTTGTCGGGTGCACCGATTGCAGTTTGCTGGCCGATCGCCGATCTTCACGATTTTGGCCAAAAGCTATTTTTTTCTCTCTGAAAAGTTGTTAAATATGGTGAAAAAGTTGCTTAGTTGGCAACAGTGGGGTGACGACACGTAACCGTGTACCTGCAGATGCGACCAGGTTGGCGGGTGTCTCAGTCAGACCTCCCTCAAGACAGAGCAAAAGGGGACAGTGGCTGATTTTCAGACCTTTGAGGCGGTAGATAAGATCAGTGGATGAGATCAGTTTCTCATTATAGTATCGGC